GTCATAGGGCAACATTTGTAGTAACTGTTAAATGAGAAACTATTTTGTTCTGTAAGCCTTCATCTTAAGTGAGAATAACAGCACAATTGGAAGACCGTAGTCAATGTCACTGAACTGTGTGTGTAGAAATTTTTGAAACGCTGTATCTTTGGCTATGTGTATTTTCACCAAAAAAAAAGGTGGAGAAGTTAGAAGGTTGATATGTTGTGGGGTTGTTAACCAACGTCATAAAACAACATGTGTATTACTGTTTCATGAGAAACTATTTGTTCTCTAAGCCTTCACCTGAAGTACAATAAAATATTTAAAAAAATAAAAAATAAAAGAGAAGGAGAGACAGGGAAAAAGGCAGCATGTTACAATCTGTCTACGAGCCAAGGAACTATAAGACAGGGCTGGGTGCCTTGTAGGGTGTTATCTTAAGAATAAATAAAGGAATGCTCAGATTTTCCATGCATTAAAAAAAAAAATACTATGTACCAAAACTGATAGAGGATGAAATAGAAATCTGAATAGTTCTATTATCTGTTAAAGAAATTGATTTTATCATTTTAAACTTCCCAGATGGTTGAACTGGTGAATTCTATCAGTCATTTTCATCATTTTTACGTCTACAGTTCAGTGACAACCGCATTCACCATGTCATGCAACCATCACCACTGTTTCCAAAAGTTTTTCAGCACCCTGAACAAAAACTCAATACCCCTTAAACAACAACTCCCTAATCCTCCCTCCTCCAAGCCCGTTAACTCTAATAAACTTTTGTCTCTATGCATTTGCTTATTCGATGTATTTCATGTAAGTGGGATCATACGCAATTTGTCTTTTCTATCTGACTTATCTCACTCTGCATAAATGTTTTAAAGGTTCATCCATGTAGCATGTATCAGTATTTCATTTCTCTTTATAACTGAATATTCCACTGTATGATATACCACATTTTGTTTATCCATTTATCTGTTGATGGACACTTAGGTTGTTTCCACCTTTTGGCTATTGTAAAACTGTAATGAACACTGCTGTACAATTATCTGCTTGAGTCTCTGCTTTCAAGTCTTTTGGGTATATACCTAGGAGTGAAATTGCTAGGTGCTATCAGCTTTTCAAGGAAGAAATAACACCAATATTAAACAATACTTTCAGAAAATTTTATCAAATGTTATTTTATGAGATCAGCATAACCTTGACACCAATACCAGACAATGAAATTATAAGAAAAGAAAATTACAGAGAAATCATTCTCATAAACATAGAAGCACAAATCTTTAGTAAAATTTCGGCAAATTCAAAATAGCAATTAATAAAAAGGTAATAAATATGTCATGACCAAGTGAGGTTTATCTTAGGAGTGCAAAGTTGGTTTAACAAATGAAAATCAATCAATGTAGTTCACATTAATGGATTAAAGCAGAAAAATCACATGATCGTTTTAATACTAAAGAAACAGCATTTTGACAAAATTCAATATTCACAACAACAACAACAGAAAAACTCAGTTAATAAGAAAGAGAAGCATCTTCAACCTGATAAAATGAATCTACAAAAAAGCCCACAGTGTATATCACACGTGATGGTGAAACGCTGAACACGCTTCCTCTAAATGAGGAGCTAGGCAGTCTGAATCCAAGCTACTCCTTGGAAACCCTATGGGGCAGTTTTACTCTGTCCTATAGGGTCGCCATGAGTTGAAATCAATTCGACAACAACAGGTTTAGTTTTTTTTTTTTTGGTAAAAGGGGAACAAGGCCAATTTGTCCACTCGTACCACTTCCATTAAACCTTGCACTGGAGGCTCTAGTCAGTGAATAAATGGCATACAGACTGGAAAGGCAGAAGTAAAACTGTCTTTCTTCTCAGAAGACATGATTGTGTATGTAGAAAATTCTTAGAAATCTACAAGAAACTACTAGAATTCATGAGTGAATTTAGCAATGTTGCAGGATATAAAGTCAATATACAAAAATCAACTGGATTACTATATGATAGCAGTGAACAATTGAAAAATAAAAATTTAAAAGTATCATTTATAATAGCATCTAAAAACAAAATATTTAGGGATAAATTTAACTAACAATCTCTAAGAGTTGTATACTGAAAACCATAAAACATTGCTCGGAGAAATTAATAAAGGGAAAGGTATAGTATTTTTACTTGTTAGGAAACTCAATAAAACTTCCAGGGGGCTTTTCGTAGAAATTAACAAACTGATTTTAAAATTTATATGGAAATGGTCAAAAGAGTTAAAACAATTTTGGAAAAAAAAAAAAGAGCAAAGTTGAGAAGTTATACTACCTGATTTCAAGACTCACTTAAGAAAAGCTACAATAATCAAGACAACGAGGTTTGGTAAAAGACTGGCAAACAGATCAGCGGAACTGAATAGACACAAATTAACCTCCACATATACAGTCAAATGATATTCAACAGGAGGGTCAAAGCAATTCAGTGGGGGAAAGGATATTGAACCATAAAACTTACAGAAGAAAATATAAGAGAACATCTTCATGATACTGGGATAGGTAAAGTTTTTTAGAGAAGACATAAAGTATTAATCATAAAAAAAAAGATTAATTCATCTTCATGAAAATAAAAATCTTCTGC